ACCACCGCTATTGTTGTCGCTGCCACCGTCATCGTCGCCACCACCACCACAATTGTCACCGTCGCCACCACCCCTTCTCCAGTACCACTACCACTACCACCACCACCACTGCCCCTAATCGCCACCATCACCGCCATCGCCACCACCGCCGCAGCCACCGTCGACACCACCATTGTCGCCACCATCGCCACTGTCACTACTACCACCACCATAGTCGTTGCCGCCACCACTATCATCGCTGCCCTCACTGCCACCATGGTTATTACCATTCACCATAACCATCATTATCTCCTACCACAACTACTGTCGTCCATTACCTCTCACTCCCACTACAAACCGTTACTTAAATTTTTTTATCTCTTCTCTATATTCGTGATTTGAATTTGGATATAAATACAAATATATTTATCGTTTATCATTTTTTATTATTTTGTGCCTTCAGGTACAGACAATAACTAGTTATTCAATAATAAATAAGGTTAAAAAATTAAATTTAATAATTATAATTATTAATGTCATTGTAGATCCTAACATTTATTCGGACTTACTATCTATTCAATAGTTGTAATTATCAAATTTATTTTTTAAGTCTAATTTTTATGTATGTATTGCATTACTCATAATAAATTTACAATTAAATAAGATAAATCTCACTTAATAATTTTTTTATATATAAATAAGTTAATTATTAAATTAAATAAAATCTATTTATTTATATATTAATATTTATTAAATAATGTCAGATAATAATAACATGGTTTCACATGTTTTCTTATCCACTTCTTTTTTATCGCTTTGCTTGTTGTTAGTCGTACTGAAGGAAAAACAAACGGGTGCACGGAACTTTTTTGGGAAAGGGACAAACGTGGCCTGTTGTGATTGGTAATACAGCTACTCGTTAGAAAACTTGGGTCACCGTGTTCCTGATCCATATCTGGCCGTTGATTCAACCTGGTTATTGCATTTTCCACTGTTAGATTGGGTGATTGTGGGTCAAGATTGCGCAGACAGGGTTTCTTCTATTGGGACTTGCGCTGATGGGACTGCGTCAACTAGGGGGACAAGTAATGTTTGGGTTGGGATTGTCTACAATTGCCTTTGCCTCAAGTGCTACACCCGCTAGCCTGGCTGCAATATTTTTCTTTATGGGTAGTTTGTTTAGTAAGATAATGTTATAAAATGTATGAAAGAGAAATTTTTAAATTTTACATGAATTTGTTTAGCATAAAATAAAAAATAAAAAAAAAATAATTTTTTTTCATACTTAGATATTCAATTTTACCCTTATTTTTTAAAAAATATTCAATAAATTATTAATTTTAAAAATTTTTATACAAATTAGAATAACTATATAATTTGGTTTAGACGTTAAGGTTCAAATCTATTCTTGTCCCTGAATTAGATTAGGAGCCAATTTTTGTAAAATTTGAATAATAAAAAATATTTTTTTCTTTTTTAGACAGAGTTAAAATAATTAAGGACAATTTAAACAATTAAAAAAAATTCTTGTATCTTTCTTTTCTTATAAACAATAAAATGGAATTATTTTAAAATTTTGTTAGAAATTTTTCATGCTAACAAAATGCATGCATGAAAATGTATTTTGTTTTGTAAAAATAAAAATTAAGTTTTTAAAACTTTTTAATTATGTTTAAATTATGAATTTCAGTTATAGTTCTTTTTCCCTATTTAGTGTATATATTAAAAAATAATAATTATTATTAGTTTTATAGGTATTCAAGGCCAAACAATAAAAGACATTAAAAAGTCAGGTTACCTAGAAGCCCAACGGTCAAAAAAAAAACATTCAAAGACATTCAAAGCCATCTTGTGTACGTTAACACAGTGGCTATATAATGGCTCGGAGATATCATTTGGTAGAAGAAGGAAAAAAAACAGTACAGGCGTCCTTCCTTTTGTTCATTTTAGTAGATTTTCCAATTGCTCGTATCAATTCTCTGGGCCTATATTTTTCAATTATCATCTATTACTTTATTTTTGGGATAACTCGATTTGAGTCAGGTTCATTTCTATCTTCCAGTAGACGTGACCATTGAGAAGATGTTGTTGCGAGCGTTGGATTGGATCTTGGAGTCGCTGGTGTCCATTAGTACCCTCACGTGGAAAGGTTCAGCTGCTTTAGGACAGTGATCACACACGCCTCTCGGATTCGTAGGCCAAATCATTCTAAATCTATTTATTTGGTTTATATAGATTGTATGTTTATATATTTTCTGTATTTATTTAAATTGCATGTTATATGATCTCACTATTATTTGCATGTTTTATTTCAAATTTTAGATTACAACTCTCAAAATTATATTGCTCACATCATAATTCTAATAATTGTTGATTTGGCCAAAAGTTTAGTAGCAATTTTTATTAATTCCAATTATAAATATATGCTTAAAACTATAATTATTTCTATATGTTTCACTTTCTTTTCTTTTACTTCACTTTCTATCTCTTTCATTTTCTATCATCTTTTTCTTGCTAATCAAACAGATCCTTCAAGAAAATTAGAATGTTTTTTTCTTTCATGTGGTTTTATTAATAATACATTTGGCCCTCATATGTTTAGATTATTAAATAGATATTTGTGTTAAATTATTTTAGTAAATTTGGCCCTTTTATTTGAAGAGTATTAAATAAATATTTATGTTACATTGTTGCATTAGTAAATTTGTGAAAATTAAAAGAAATTACAGTTAGCCGAAGTAATAACTATTAGAGTTTATTAGAAGACCGTGTAAGCAATATTTTTAATGGTGATGCCATGGATAATTAAAGTTAGCATTACAAAATTGATATCATTTGTAGATTTTTTATATTATTGTCGAAATATCAAAATTAAAAAGATTTAATCCCATTTCTATAGTTAAATCACACATGAAAAATACAAGTTATTAGATGAGTGGAGGAGTTGATGACAAAACAAAAAGATCAATTAGTTTTCTATAATGTTCACTTCTTTTGCAAACAATAAAATCAAATATCAACCAAGTTCATTATCAAAATTATAAAAAAGGGTGGGTAAAATTTTGAAGATGGAAACCCAATTATAGAACGATTGATCTTCACAATTTAATAAGTAATGGCTTCTGATATAAGTTAAATTTTACTAGATTTAATTTTTTTTTTTACTAGATTTACTTTATTGTAGAAAATAATGGAGAAACTTTTAGGTAATTTTTGGTTTTTTCTTTGAGAGGGGAAGTTGTGTGTAGAGGCTTAACAAATTCATCTTGTGTGAAGTTTAATATATTTGAAAATTAATTGTGATGATACACAAATTGGTTTGCACACCACCTGTCAAGTAAACAATATTAAATGCAGTAAACAAGTAAAGAGAGAGAAGAAGATGTTTATAGTGGTTTGGTCAACGTAATCAATGCTCACTTTGAATGACTAGGGTCGTTGGGTATTTTATTGACTCAAGTGCGTAGGGAGAGCTGAGAGTTACAAACTTAGAGAGGGAGATGAGAGATGTGCTCAATTGAGTGTGGCGCCCACAAGTGTTGGTGGGGCTTACAATTTATAATCACACTCCTAATAGATTTGGGCGAGATATTAGTAACTAGTTGGCTAGTCTGTTGGATCTGGCATCCTCCTCTCAACGAGCGAGGAGGTTATGATACTTTCCATGAAATTTTATCAAAGGATGAGATGAGGGTTGACTATTTACAAGACAGCAAGGATGAGGCTCTTGAATGACCCTGCATGCTTCTTGCTGACGTAGCTCCTTGAACCTGATGATCTTGACCGCGTGTAGAGCACTTTGGACTTGGCTTGCTGGACCTCCAAGAATTGGGCTATTAATTTGGACTAGGCTCATAACATGAGTTGGGCCCTTGGGTTTAGCCCATCATTTACCCCCACTTCCCTGTGTCTAACGGAACTTAAAAAGGACGGCATTTAGTTTGAGTTTGAATTTTTGGTTGACCGGCATAATTGAAAAAATTTTGGGAGGCCAAAACATGTGCTTCTAGGCCTTTTTTGGGCTTTTAACAAGGTCTGTCCTACCTATAGGCAATAAGTTTTGTAGAGCTCGCCGAGAGTTTTGATTTGACATATTATGGGCCCCATTTAGAGTTACAGATCAAAAGTTACAGTCAAAATAGCGTGAAACCCTTTTTAAATATGAATTTCTTGAAGACTTCTTTTGATTGGCGACCTCTTCCCTTCCAATAGACTCCTTTTGCTTGTGGGATACCATTAGCTATATAAACTCCTTTATTTACTCCCATTTTTGGATTCTTGAAAAGCCCTAGCTATAAATTGGGGCTTTTTTGCTTTTCCGTAATAGGATTTAGAAAATCCTAGGTATAAAAAGGGAGTTTCTTCCCCCACTCCACCCATTTCATTCAACTCTGAGAGAGTGTTCCTCCTTCAAATTTTTTGGAGACCCCAGACTTGATATTCTTGAGCTTGAGCACCGAGCACTTCGATCAATGTCGACTAAGGAGGAGGAGATGCAACTGCCTATTATCAGTGAGGAAGAAGTGGGCATTGAAGGCAGTGGTCACCTTGGGTGAGCTCTAGGCACCACCGAACGTGGAGGAGGTGAGCAGACCGCTCGTGTAATGGTCATGGGAAAGTTGACCGCGCGTGAGAAGGAGGTGCTGCTCACCCACTTAGGTGTTGATCTGGGCGGTGAGCAGGTGGTGGGCATCGTTGGGCGTGAAGTAAGGGTGAGTTCCCTTGGGCGTGCAGCCGAGGTGGGTAGGGGAGATCTAGGTGTCCTGTGGGCTACGTGGGGACGTCGAATTTGAAAATAGGGCTCACCACTTTGGGTGAGCAGGCTGTTCGGGTGAGATATTGGGCGCATACCATTGTAAATGGAGTGGGAACTGTCTGCGCACTAGAGGTGTCGAGCGAGTAGTGCGCGATGAAGGAGGCTGGTTAGGGATTGGGCGCTGAGACCCAGGAGCTAGACACCCAAGTCGAAGCGACCCAAGTGAGAATGGAATCATTGGGTGCCCCTTTGGGCGTTGATTGAGGAGCTTGGGCGAGCAGGCCTTGGGTTCCCCTTTGGGAGCTAATTTTGGGAATTCAGGCGAGCAGCCTACTCGCGTTAGGGGCGTGGTGATAGGCGAACAGATGAGGGGGAGTTGGACACCCTTGGCAAGGGCGTCATTGGCCAGGCGTCCCAAGCGTTGGGCGTCTCTGGCCAGGCCTCTCGGGCATTGAACACCGAGGCCTGGGCTGCCCAGACACTGGGCGCCGAGTCTAAGGAGGTCCAGACGCCTGGTGTTGGGGTTGTGGTGACTCGGGTACTCACCGAGGCAGGTGGGACACGCAACCTTGGTAGTGGTAAGTCTGGGGAGGATCTGGCTCCTTCATGTGGAATTTCTCTAAATCAGACTCTTTAGGGCCTCTCCAATAGTGGCTCAGACAACTCTTCATGTCCTCGCAACAAAAAGCACCAAGGAAAGGTAGTCCTGGATGATGATGGGTTTAAAGTGAGTACAATTTCTAGCACTTTAAATATAGATGCTGATATTTTGAGGATTGTCTTCGCCTACCACATTCCTCCAACTATGCTGTGTTGTCGAGCTAAGATGGGTGAGCCCATTTGCGATAACTCCTCTAGTGATCTTGTCATCTATGAGAAGATGCTTGAGGTTGGGCTTAGGTTTCCCATGTCTTCTTCTATTTGTCGTGTTTTACATTACTTTTCACTAACACCGGGGCGATTGTCGCCTAATGGTTGGAGGTTTTGTTATGTTTTCTGGTATTATGGAGGAGGTGTATCATGAGGGTGCCTCTCATGTCAAGTTTCATGTAGCTTATACTTTGAGCGAGACTCCTGCTCCTGATCGGGGCTAGTACTACTTTACTACGAGAGACAAGTTGATTACCGGATTGCGCTCTAACTGTCATAGCTGAAAGTCTCGCTTTATATTTGTTGGCAAAAAGTGGGCTGCAAAGGCCGGTAAAGCTTTGGTACCAACAGGATGGGGTACTCCTAAGAAATTTGGTACGCCCTACACTTACTTTCTCTCCTTTGCCTTCTCTTTTTTGTTTTTTTTACTCATCATGCCTCTTGCAGATTCTCATGTGCTCTTTAGGGACCAAGAATGAAAGTTGCAGGCCGTGAGGGCTCATCCTGAAAAAGATGTTGGAGTTCTTATGTCCAAAAACGGTGGTGGGACTAGTGAACCCTCTCCTGGATCCTTTTTGAAAAGAAAGAGTATGTTGATTCTTGTACTTTTTCCCTTTACCTGGTGTTTTTCATCTAGATAACTATTTACTTCATTTGCAGTAGTAGATAATAAGGTGATTGGGTCCCCGTCTTTCTGGTAGGAGCCCTCCTCCTCCTAAGGTGGTGAGAATGGGTGATGCCTCCCAAGTGACCTCTTCAATGGTGCCGCCCAAGGTGTGCTCTCCTCAAGCAATCCTTCAAGTGGTACCTCGGGTGCGCTCCCATCAAGTGACCTCTCCAATAGTGCCTCCTCAGTCAGAGACTCCTTCAGTTGCATCTCCCACTTTAGAGTCCCCCTTCTTGGCCACACCTTTTGCCCCCCGTTCATCCATTCCTCCTATGAGAACACCTATGAGAACACCTAGAAGAGCACCAATTTAGATCAGCTCCATGTTGGGTAACACGCCAGTCATAAAGGATCGACTTGGGAGGTTTGTGTTTTTCTAATGATGTTAGCGAGATTAGTGCTCTGGGTATCGAGAGAATCGTTAGTTCTTTTCTAGAAGGCCTGACTCAGGTAAGGGTTTGTCATCTCCATTTCTCCAGTCCTTTCTTAAGTTTCTGACATTATTTTGACTTTTATCTTTCTTTAGGCTTCTACTACATCTATGTGTTTACTTTCAAGGGTCTATTGTCACAGCTAGCTGAAATAGAATCTTGAAGTTGTGCAAAAGGAGCTCCTTGTTGCTTAAGGGATGATTGTTGAGCTTGAAGCTGCTGATAGGACTTCTGAGGCTGAGCTTGTGGTGACCAGTGAAAGGGCGACTAAGCTTGAGACTGAGATTTCAGCGACCCATGAGAGGGCGGCCAAACTCGAGGCTGAGCTTGCGGTGACCCGTGAGAGGGACGCGCTCAAAGAGGCTGAGCTTATAAAGGCCCGTTAGAGGGCCACGCTCAGAGAAACTGAGCTTGTGAAAACCCATGAGAGGGTCACGCTCAGAGAGGTTGTCGTAGAGGCAAAAGTGAAGGCAGCTCATGAGAGAGCATCTCGGGCTAAGAAGAGGGCTGTCATGGCTCAAAGTGATTTAGAGAACGACCTTGCTAATGCCTTTATTGACAGTTATGAGGAGCTCCGCGGAAAGATTTCTACTATTTTTTTTGATATTGATGTGTCAGGCTTCTTGCTATCTGAGGCGCCTGATGATAGTGATGGAGGCTTTGACGATGCCGAGAATGATGAGGAAGACGACCATGAGAGTAGTTAGAGTGCTAGGGACTTTGGATTTTTTTTTCTTTTTGGAAAGTATTTTGTAGCCCTACTTTTGTAAAAGTGATTTTTGTCACTGATGCTCCTTTGAAATTGAATACAAAAATGCAAAAATTTGAGTAAATCTAAAAAATTTTATTTATTCACTGCTCATGTCAAACAATATTGGGTATATCCCCCAAATTGATTTGCATACCACCTGTCAAGTAAACAATATTAAATGCAGTAAACAAGTAGAGAGCGAGAATAAGAGGTTTATAGTGGTTTAATCAACGTGACCTACGTCCACTTTGAATGACTATGGTCACCGAGTATTTTATTGACTTAAGTGCGTAGGGAGAGCTAACAGTTACAAGCTTAAAGAGTGAGAGGAGAGATGTGCTCAATTGAGTGTGATGCCCCCCAAGTGTTGGTGGGGTTTACAATTTATAGTCGCTCTCCTAACAGATTTGGACAAGATATTAATAACTAGTTGACTAGTCTGTTGGATCTGGCAACCTCCTCTCAACGGGCGAGGCGATTATGGTGCTCTCCATGAGATTCAATCAAAGGATGAGGTAAGGGTTGACAGTTTCCAAGGCGGCAAGAATGAGACTCTTTGATGACCCTGCATGCTCTCTGCTGACGTAGCTCCTTGAACCTAATGATCTTGACCGGGTGTGGAGCACTTTAGACTTGACTTGCTGGACCTCCTAGAATTGGACAATTAATTTGTACTAGGCTCATAACATGAGTTGGACCCTTGGGTTTGGCCTATCAAATTGTTATATCAATTTGATAAATATAGAAACATCTTGATGAAAATTTTTGTGAATTTGAAGTAGTTTTTAAATTAAAATTATATATATATATATATATGTGTGTGTGTGTGTGTGTGTGTGTGTGTATTATGATGACTTTCTCCAACTTTGCTTCATGAATGGCATTGCAACAGTTTATTTTTATTATGTGATGTGACGCAGTTACAATCATTGAATATATATTAAAGGGGAGAAATGTTTTTTTGTATTTAATTTAATAACTTTATTTGGTAACATAATATATATTCTTAGTGAGTCCACTATTAGTAGGTTCTAAGTGGGGTCCATTGTTAGTAGGTCCCAATTAATAATGGATCCACTGTTAATGATAAAAAATAATAAAATCGTAAAACATTGTCCATTAAACAAACTATATGTGACCTACTAATCCAATGATCATCTTTGTGATCTTGTTGCTTCCTCACATGCACAATCCAAACACCACTTTTGGAAGTAGGCTCAAGTTTAGGTTGACCCATTTTTTTATGAGCAGGCTTCGAGGTTGCCCATTCCTATATTTTTTTTTTGTTGATACTTAAAATGGATATGTAGATAAGTCATTTCACATATCCGTTAGGGAGTATTGTTTCTCAGTATCACACACAACTATCCGTAGGGGACTCTACCACACTTACGTTGGGACCAAAGCTAAGGTCCCACCGCATGTTCTAGAAACTGAAGAGTATGTTTGAGCTATCATACCTATAGAGACTCAAATCCAAGCATTGAGCAAAAAATTATGAGTTCTTATTCACTGGACCAACCACTCAATTCTATCTAGGATGGTTTAGTTTTTTATAATTATTTTTTAAAATGTTTTATTGCAATTATTGAGAATAACAATGCTCTCCTTCCAAACCCTCACTTTTCAAATAATAGAAAAATCTTCTCACTATAAGTAATAAAGGCTACTGATATTTTAGTTCTTCTCTATAATTTCCATAGCTCCCTTCATTTTTGTCTTTATCTTTTTTTTTCCTTTATAAGTTATCATAGATCTTATGAAAGTAGCACTTATAAATGGTATTGATGATGATAAGCAATTATTGGTTATTTATGTGATTATTTTCTTGTATCACTCTTTAGCTTCATTTGATGTTATCTTACTATCAACTGCTGATTTGATGATCTAATTTAAGTGTAATTTAAGACTTTAAGAAATTGTGATGTGTCTTATTCACTGTTTAAATTCAATTTTTTTTTATTTACTTTCTTATTGGTTTTTATTTAAAAATTTGAATTGTCATGGTCTTGGTACTTGAGAATGGACTATTAATTTTTGCAACAACTATACGTGAATTTTACTTGCTAATTAACTTTTTATTCACTATTATTGAATTTTATTCTATTTTTTGGTTTTTAATTGTTAAACATTTACTGTAAGATTATAATTTTTCCAATCTAAAGGCAATTTGGGGTGAGAAACTCTATATTTTTAATAGGAATTCTTGCAAGTGTTGCTCCCAACCATGGCAGAAGCAAAACATTTGAAATATAAATATTATAAAACTAATAAGTAATCAAATCAATGACTTGATGTGTTTTTTTTTTAACATTTTGTCTCTTTTATTTTCTAAATTCACACTTATGTTATGCACATAAACCACAAATATGGAGATAATGTGGATAAAAAGTAGAAAATAAAAACTAAAATTATTTATAAAATAAAGTATAATACTATTCAAATCTAAAAAGATAAACAAAATAATTTTTACTTTTCATGGTTGAAATATCTTTAAATTTTATTTCAAAATTAATCAGACGGTTCTATAGAGTGTGTTTGAAGTGATTCTTTAAAAGTGTTTCTATAATTTATAATTTCTTATAAGTATTTTAAAGAAAATAGTGTTTGGAATCATCCCACCACTATTACCACCACTACCATCCCACCACTATTACCATCACCACCACCACCACCGTTGCCACCTCACTGCCACCTCTATCACAAAAACCACCACTGTTGTTGCCACCACCACTG